ATCTTGCAATCTCGGCCCAGTGCCCAGTCTTCCCGCAGCGTCGACAAGTGTCTTTGTCGATCGGACGCGCGTTGTTGCCGTCCTTCTTCTGCGGGGCCTTGCCACGGCGCTTGTCGTAGCCGCCACGGCTAGAGGAGCCTTCCCCGGGTCGCCTCGCGCATACGAGCTGCCCATTCTTCCTCGGTCAGTAGTAACTTGCCGCTGGTAGATATCGTCGCCGTCTCCACGCGGTCATCCACTGCCCTCAAGCGCCCAGTCACATCCTCAATCGTGAGGGTGGACATGTCGATCAACGTCTCGATGGAGAGCGCTATCTGGGCATACTTAGGCGGCACGACGCGCAAGTATTTCGCGACCGCCTCCTCGTCGGTGATGGTGACGCCGTGCGCCGCCAGCTGACTGACGAGCGACTGCAAACGGAGCGAGAAATCCTCCACTGCCTCGCCTTCGTGGAATGCCAGCGCCTCGTACTCCCGCCGCAGCTGCTGCGCCTTCGCCTTCTTTGCGCGATCAGACCCGATGCGCATGGCTTGGCGTCCCAAGCAGCCTTTGCGGAGTCCTTTGCGCCCAGCGACTCCACGTACTCGTGAGGCATAGCGGACAGAATCGCTTCCATCGATGCGCAGTCCTCTTCTTCATCCTCGGTGCCTTCCTCGAGGGCCCGCCAAAGCTTGCGCCCACGCAACTTGACCTTCATCAGCACCGCCCATTCGCCGTAGTTCGTGCGTGTGAGGACCGGCCAGTTGGCCCCGCCAACGTCCCGCACGGTCCTGTGGATGATGACCTCCTGGCGTGGTGAAGCGTATGCTCCGCTCCCTTGCACCATCGACGCAACATCTTGGCTTGCCATGGCTCTGATGCCACTTGTTAGTCCCTGCTTGTTCACTGCACTGCTCAGGTAAGCAAAAATGCTTTTGGCACAAATGAACACTTTTAGAATGAAAGAAGAAGATTGTGAACAACTCAATGTATTGAGTATTAAGTTTTTCTGTGTTTACGAAACAAAAACTGCATACCTATTTATAAGAACTAAAAACAGCTATCCTAGTGACTTTCCTAGAAATTACTTAAGTTAAAAAGTCATGAAAAATCAGCCTAAAATGGCTGCCATGAAAGTGCTTTGCAGCTGCAAGGAAGTTGCAGCTGCACTACCAAAGAAGCTGCCTGGAAAAAACAGCAAATTATATCTTACATGGTAGCCACCACAAAGCAAAGAACTTGCAACCTTCAATGACATTGGTTGCTAGATTTTTAGCATTTACCTTCAGGAATTTGTTAATTTTTTTAGTCGAGCATCCTGTGGTTTTACTGGAATTGCATCGTACACAACTTATACAGTAAAAGTTATATCGCATGTAAACCGTTGTTTACCCTTAAGATTTATTTGTGGACAAAAAAGAATGCAGTAAGAAGAAAAACTTACATAGGAAACTTTATGCTGAAGCGTACATACTGATTTCCACGGCCAACAAAAAAACCGCCCGTTGGCAACCCTTTTGTACATGATGCTCATCAGTAAATTAGAAAAAGAGGATAAAGCCCAAACTAAGACAAAGCTCATACCTTTGCCCCTTAGTGTTACCAACTGCCCATGTTGAACCCCCTTGGGTATCTGCAATGAGCCCAAGCCACAAAGAAAGCGGTGAACATTAGTAATATAGAAATAAAAGTTAACTTACCTACTACAGTCTATTTTCTGTGGCTAGAAGGAAGTACGAACTAACTCCACCCTCTAGTCACAGTTTTTTATTATATTCGTAATTTCTACAACGCTTATGGGGAACGTGAAGCCCAGAACACATTATTAGCATATCCCATTATGACGGATAAAGTTTTATAAATTGCAAAAGCATCCTCATACATTCAACTCGTAAAAAGGACAGCAGGAAAAAAAAATAAAAAAAAAAAAGATCCATTCTTACTCCTTATACATCTATAAAGATAGTTGGAGTTCGTTCCCCATTGATTGAATAGAAATTTTCGGAAGAATTTTAGGTTGGAATCCAATTCCAATTACCTGTACTGTTCTTTTCGAAGTACAAACACGAGAATCGTACTATTTATTATTTAAAGATAAATAAAGGAAAGAACGAGAAACTAATTAGATATAATGAAAAGATAATTGAAAAAAAAAATCTCTATTTTGTCAATGGCTAACAGTATCATCAACATCAACATCAACATACCCAGTATCTTCCCAACAGGTTGGGGTCTGGGGGGTCAGTTGTACGCAGACCTTACCCTTGTAATTATACAAGGAGGCTATTTCCATAGCGACCCAAGGTGCGAATGGCTAACAGTATGTAAGCTATAAAACTAGGTTAAATAGATAAATCATTAAATCTCTCCATTTGATGCATCAATAAGCATTTTTTATTCAAACTTAAAAGTCGTAGAGTTGCTAATGAAATTTATGTGCAAATAATTATACTACGCTTTCATTTCTGTTGAATTAAATTCTGAGGAAACTGAATTTTCTGCTTTTTTATCGGTGTCATCTTTGTTTTTGTTTTGTTTTTCCACTTTAAACCAAATAAAATGCAATCCAACATAGTTCCAAAAACATATATTAGACATGTCTTAATTAACTTAGTGGGATCAATTACATCTATCTCCCTAGAGGTTCTGCGAAAATTGCTAACACGAGTACAGAAGTATTTTAGAATGTATCTCAGATGAAACTCTGAGAGAAATCAATGGAAACATCTTGAAGGCGTGCAGAAAATAGGATATAATATCTGAAGGAAAGAAAAAATACATACTTGCAGTTGCATATTCCCAGAAAGTGTAGGTACCTCAACGCTACCACCAAGAATAGCCTGTTACCACAGAAACCAAACAACAAAAACTTCATTTTAGCGAATCCTTTTCTCACATGAACCAAAATGGATGAGAAAATTTATCATTCGTAAAGTTGTATTCTTTAATCTTAATTAATGAGCATAACTATAACCTTTTAATCATGGGCCAAGAGGGAATATAATAAGAAAATTTATCATTCGTAAAGTTGTATTCTTTAATCTTAATTAATGAGCATAACT